GAAAGTAAGTGTTTGCATCTCAACCAGAACACGATACTTCTTTAATAAGATCACCACAATACTCGTAACGTACAAAGAAAAATATATCCAAAAACTACAATGTCAAAATCCCATATCTTCATAATTCAAATTTATGCACTCCATTATTAAATGGGTTTCGGATTGCGATATAGGTAAAACGAAGATAGGTAATTAATTTAAAACAAATGGTATAACCTAAAACGAAACGTGTTAACAAAGAAGAATTCTATGAACATCAAGAGCCCCGTCCCATTCGTGTAAAGGCGCTTAGATAAGTAATTTAAACAAACTCTGGAAATGTACACCTTCAGATAGCAACCTCTTTCGCAAAAATCAGACCTGTCATTTCAACGACAAAAGCAAACGTGATATTTTTCTTAATGCCAATGGTACCAACTACTAACACTAGATATTTTATCGAGTTTCATGCATGGTGAAAGAACTGGAAGGTACTCTTTGGTTAGAACTTTTGCGTTGGATTAGAGTTCGGTCTAGTACCTCATGATGTGGAAAATTTCTCTATAAAGTTTTGACTGCAAACTAATAATAATAAAACTATAGATAATTGGCGTGTAGCAGATTACAGTTCGGATTTAGAGTTCTGGTCGTTCCAAAGAATCTCCCAATAGTTCTTTCCGTAACCGAATTCTGTGGCAAGCCAGACATTAAAGAAAATAAGGAACATTTTTATACCAATGTTCCGTGGGAGTAGTTGAGGCTGTGGGGTAATAAAACTAACACTTCCCTCTGGCTATCTAAATTAACGTGTTCGTAGAATTTTTTTTTAAATTACAATCGGTAGTTGGTTTTGAAATGAAAGCCCTGTATTCCATAGTTCAATTTCTCATCTGCTTTTAGCCACGAATTGTGTTACCGAATACTCTTAGGGTCGGTTGCACAAACATTTTTGATTCGGGTTTAATCCTGATCCTCGCCTTAATTGGTTGATGCCTTTGACACTGTCAAATCAGAGTAGCTATAAACACCCCCACTATAGAGCCAATCAAATGCTTTAAACTAGGATCAAAATCTACCAACGCAACGCACCCAAATCGATTATAAAACGCGTCAACCGCAATCGTTGGGAGGTTTAGGGTGCGATAAACATTGCAAATGATGCGATATAAGTCCACCAGTAGCGATGTTTTACCCCGAAAAGAATTTTCTCGTGCTTTATTCGCCACGATTTTCTTCCAATTTCGTAGCCGTAATGGTTAATCCCGGAACCATATTGGAACAACAACAAAATACGTGACTATACAGCTGAATTTGTAAAAGTCCTTTGGCAACCTTTATCTAAAAGTTGAACAAAGGAGATGCCGAATACAATAGTAAGAAGTAATCTCTTAGATCTGATTGCTAACTGAAATTTAATTAACAATTACCATATTAGCTATAATTATTCACCCTTAACGTATATAACCCCCTATTTCCGTGCGTTTGCCGAAACCGCCCACTTTATTTGCTAAGTACCTGACACGAACTCGAAATAAAACAATCGAAGCACGTAGATTGAGGGTGAAACAATCCAGTTCATCAGATACACACTGAATGAATGGTTAAACTTAGAAATGCGTCCCCATTTTTTTTTTCTCCGCCAAATTGGAAACTTTGGTAAATTCGCGAAGAATTATGGCAGTCACGTTCGAAATTTTCCTATCATGTAAACATATTGAAAATTAAGTTTGACGCGTACGCTGCGAAAGTTTGAAATCAAAACCGAGTTAGCAATTTGCGTTTTTCATAATCATATTTGAATGTTATTAGCTCCCGGTGGTTCTTCTTAGTTTAACAGTAGATGTGCACTGCTAAATGTTTGTTGTATTTACACTGGGGAGCTGTTGTTGCGCATAGTAAGATTTACAGTGGTCGCTTTCTCTCTGCTCTCACTTCCTTTCATTTAGTCGCTCTATGCATCATATACCGGTGCATGTGAGGTTTAGAAAATTTTACAATTGCAAAAATCAATTTTGAAACTATGAGACATCAACGTCACGTAGGCCATCCTCTAACAAGGTTTTTATTGGAAACAAGGAGCGACCAACACAGACAGCCGGGCAGAGAATCCAAATAACCAAAATGAATCAGTTAGTCCCTTGACCATTTTCTAGCTATTACTGAAAACAGAATTGGACAATTCGAAACCGTTCATGAGGTATCATGTACGCAGACGGACGGACGGACTGATTGTCCAAAATCATGAATGAGGTCTGGGTCACCCGTTAATAAAACCTAGGTAAATTAACTACGAAGTTCAGCAGAAAGTCTATAATTACTTTTTGAATTAAAAAGTTTGTTTATTTTTTAAGTTTTAATTACGAACTTCATCAAACTGCTTTTCAATATTTGCGTATAGTTCTAAGTACGGACCACATTCGTAATTAATAAACAAGTTATTAAGCAAGTTAATTTGCTTTTCCGTCCAACATCAAACTGCAGAATATTTTCTGCGTCAAAATGAGGACTTTCACATAGCATGTCTCGATTCATAGTTAACCATTAAAAATTTCTATGTCTACCCAGGGATTGATTATAAATTACACAATGGATATTTTTTATATTATCGCAGATAGAGGTAGGTATACATTAAATGTAAAAGTTGTGGAAGTGACAACGAGGCGTCTTAATGTATCTCAAAAAACGCAGTGGCGTACTACAGCTAAGGGGTACAAAAATAATAGAATTTTGTTTAATAGACTACCCTGTATTTCATTTTATTTTCGAAATACCCATATTTTTCTGAATTTAAAAATATACCACATGCTACTTCCAGGTTAAACTATTGTTGAGTCATTAAACAATTAAAATGGTGGTTATGCTACTTACATCATGTATTCATATTGGGCAAAACATGTGTTGAAGAGAAAAAACAGTATGATTACAAGATGTTTTAGGGCCTTCTACATTCATGATCTTCCCTCGTTTCTACAGCCTGGGGAACGCGGAAAACGACCAATGCAGTCTACAGCAGTCGTATGGCAGGGATTAAAATTTTCCGAATTTTGTAATTATCGAAATGTTGAATTTGTTAACAGGTGAGATCTTCAATGCATTCTTAAAACCGATAAGTTGAAATACTCTCCTCTTTTTGGATAGGCATTTTGGTGATGAAATACAGGTTTCGGTTATTAATTTTCCTGGACAGTACAAATGTAGGATTGGAAAAAGAAACGAGTACTGACATAAACCAGTTCTTCAAATTAGGTTTAATGTTTTGGAAATTCCTTTAGTTAACTTTTCACATTGATTAGTTTTAACTTCAGCGGCACACAAATGAACGTAAATATTATCTTACGTGGCTAACAGTTTTCTTTATCGCAATTTCGCTTTGATGAGATATTAGAGTATCTTTCTTTATACGTTGTGGAACTGCGTAGAGCACGGTAAAATGTTTGGGGAATTTGCTGAATAGCACTTTGTTTATCAATACGGACAATATTTTTAACTGAATTACGATTGCGGACTTTTAAACGACTACACGTTAATATGTAAATGTCCCTTGCCGTAATTTTATATTACGTTAATCCTTATTGACAAATGACACTTCTTTTGACAAACTAATATGCGCGATGGCTACACAAGGATTCTGTTAAGGGTAGCGAAAATTGAAATACACTTTTTATATTATGATTCCAAAATTGGAACCCCACTTTTTCGCGTAACTTTTCCACTGTAGCAAAATCATAAATTCCAAGAAAACTACTGGATATTATGGATACTAATTGCAGCTCTGAACTAGATTAACTGCTTCTCTTTTGTCTTTTCCCAAGAAGGCTTGATCTGCAGTGTAAGAGATGTAACATACTATGACATCTTTTTTATTGTGTAAAGCGAAACAAATTTCCGCCAAATACGATTTAAAACGAAGACGTGACTATAACGATAACGATAACTATGACGTAGATGACAAATAAAGCTCGCTGACAAACTAAAACTTGAACTTGACATAATGAATATTCGTTTGGCGGAATGTTACTAAAACCTTGACCGTTCTTTAAACTGAGAAATTCTCCTGCCGTATTTTTCACTGAAAAAGATCGCAAACAATTTACGGAAAATAACCGCTCTCGTTACATGATTCGTCCCCTGAATGAATACCATGGGTGGCAAGGATGGTCTGTGCGGAACACTGCGGTCTGGACGTTAATTTCATAGCATTTGAAGTTGGTGGCGACAACTGTAGTTGTAATTAAATAGTCGATGCAACTTTGTAACCTTGTACGGACTTATAACGCGCATTTGAATTTTTGAACTCATTTCAAACTAGTAATTACAAAATTTTCTCACAGTTTAATTTTTACCACTAGCACGTTAGGAAGGGAAGCGGCAGGAATCCGAATCAAACAAAATCTTGATGATGTTGATCAGTCTGTCTGTCTTTCGTTCCCGCAACATTAATTTTTCCCAAAGTACCGCCCATCAAACTTGCCTAACGAAAGATTTCCACAAACTTGGCAGTTGACATGCCCTGAGGAATCGGGTGCGGCCGGTCTGGCACGTACTTCCCATTAATATTGTCTTATGGCGCGACATTTCTAAGCTTTCACACGCAATTACGCAGGACCGTAATCCGGGACCATTCGTCCAAAAATAAAAAAATTAAATAAACCCCAATAGAGGATTCCCGTTACAGCCCTGACGAAACCTGTACTTTTAACGCGTTAATAGTTATCATTACCAGTGCAAAGACACTGTGCCCAAGATAAGGATGATGGTCAAATTAGGTAAAATTTATGCAATTAAACAGTTATTATCATACTGTAAATGCCCATTACTTACGATGATATTTTATTTGAATTATTAGCAATTCATTAAAAGTAAAGCAGTCTCTAAGAAGAGGCGATTTGCCCTAATCATACTAATTATCATCGTGTTTTGCTATGCCGCAATGCTAAAAATACCGACGGTCACGACCGTTTACTATTTATGGAACGTTATCAATGCAAAGGACAGCAACTTCTTGAGCAAATCAGAACCGGCTGTGTTCTTCAGTCTAACGAATAATTACAGTGGTAATTCCATCTATTTAACGCTACCTGCACAATGAGAGTGTACCCCAATTACAATGATGAAAACTGTGATAACAGTGCATGTTTCTAGATAACCCGAGATCCCCAAAACGGAAAAAGATATTGCTCACTGAACAGTGAGCACATACACTCAGGTAAATAATTTATTTTTGAATTTTATTCTAAAGTCTACAAATTTAGCTGCGAATAAATCGAGGGACGCAATAATCAAGCTCAACTACCAAATACGACTTATCGCTTCTTGGGCCAGAAATCACAATTCAATATGATATTGTTGATATTTGCCACCGCACTATTGATCGGCGCCTGTACAATCGTACACTATTTTAAAAATAAGTACAAGTACTGGGAATCAAGAGGTGTGCCATACGACAAACCAACTTTGTTCTTCGGCAGCTTCTGGCGCTTCTTTTTCGAAAGAGATAACTTGAACAAGTACCTGGAGCGAACCGGAAAGAAATATGATTCGCCTTATTTTGGATTCTTTATATTTACCAAGCCGATACTGGTAATCCAGGATATTGAGATAGCGAAAAGGATCTTCGTTAAAGATTTCGTGTCGTTTCCAAACAAGCTATTTTTTCCTGACAAACATTACGATCCAATATTTAATAATTCATTAATAAACTTAAGAGGAGAAGACTGGAGGTATATGAGACGCAAACTTAGTCCAGTGTTTACAACTGGCAAGATAAAGACCATGTTGGAGATAATTGATGAGTGTTCAGATCGCCTAACGAGATATTTGGCGAACATTCCAGATGGAGATCTGGAGGTTACTGAGGTAGCGTCCAGGTTTGCAGCGGATGTGATCTCCTTATGCATGTTTGGTGTAAAATGCGATTGTTATCAAAAGCAAATACACAACTTTCAATATTATGGCGAAAATATACTTACCAAAGGAACTATTGGTGTCATCATAACTGTCGCGTATATATTCGTCCATTTTGCGGTTAAGATTTTTAAATTCACGTATTTTAATCCAGAGGGAGTGAAATATTTTCGAGGCGTTTTTACAGATATTTTCAATGAACGCAAGGAGCAGTATCTTAAGCGCAATGACTTAGTAGACATTTTGCTGGACTTTAAGCGAAGTGATGGAAACAATGGCAGATTCGTGCACGGTATGTTCATCTATAAGTAGAGTACACGTTTCATGTATTTATTTAGACGACACTCAACTACTTGCACAAGCGATTGCCTTTTCCTTTGCGGGACAAGAAACGACATCATCTATACTTTCGTTTACGCTCCACGAGTTAAGCCTGAACAACTCAATACAAGATCGATTGAGGCAAGAAATTGTTGAAATAAGTAATAGATATGGAAATCTCAATTATCGGGGATTGCATGAAATGAAGTACTTAAGCATGGTTGTTAATGGTACGATATTTATAGTTTCGCAAAAAATTACAAGTTCTTATTAGAAACACTACGGAAACACCCTCTCACTACTTTTGTTCAGCGGGAAGCACTCGATGACTACACTTTTCCTGAAACGGGACTCCAATTGGAACGGGGAACGGGAATAATTGTACCTTTAAAGAGCTTCCATTACGACCCCAAGTACTTTCCAAACCCTGAGATTTATGATCCGGAAAGGTTTAGGGAGCAGGATACACATATGGCGTTTGGTATTGGGCCTAGGGGTTGCATCGGTAAATACTATAGTGCATTTTTTATACTAACGTACTTTTGCAGGAAAGAGATTTGCTCTGGTAACGATAAAGATGGCACTGGTAAATATACTGAAGAAGTTTAAAGTGGAAAGAAATGCAGAAACAAGAGAGACAATACCAATTAACTCGCCGCTCATTTTTAGACCAGAAAATTGCGTCAATGTAAGATTTACGCATCTCAGTGAAACGTAGTGGACCACTCAGATGACCTCTTCAAGTGTTACCGTTTAAAATTAACTAAAAGTAGTATCGTTTGCATCGATCATAAATGTGTAATTCAGAAATTAGTAAAAAATTCTTGAAAAAACACAAGAAAAACGTTGTTCTGAATTTTTAAAACAAAGATTCAGTTTAGCTGTTCAGCAGGGAAATGCGGCTTGTATTTTAAGCACTCTACCGCCACAGACAGCATTTAATAAAAATTTTTATATTTTAAATATACGGTAAATTTTTTTTAAAATTTTATTTTTAGTGCATTTTTGAAAAAAATACGCTATTATATTCGTTATGGCTGACTGGCCGGCTGAGATCTCAGCAACTACAATAGATAGAGACTTCAAATTTTCACTAAAAGCTTTCTACTATAGTGTAGATGTGCAGGCTCTAGTCTATTTTGAGTTAGATTACTTGTGAGATTGATAACTTAAGAAAATAATCTCGATATGGTTTTCGGAGGTGCTATAATTTTACCGTTAGATAACGCTACCAGTAGAAACAACTTAATTATTTACTTTGTGATTTGTTTTACACAATAAAGACGTACCCTCAATAATTGTAATTAAACAAAATTAATTATTTAACGCAGCCAAAATTACTCGTGAGATCGATAATAATAATTCGCTAATAAAAAATACTGATCTGTATTACCAAACATGCGCTTTGATTATGCATAATGCTGATTTACAACTTGTTTTTTTATGTTTTTAAACAATTTTATTTGCAATATGTTAATGTTGTAACCTTTTGTTAAATTCATAAATATAATATTTTCATAATAAAAAAAATAAATAAATAAATGTGTAAAGTATTGTAATAAAAACGATCACTTTCTGGTGATTTCTCAATAGAATTTATAGCCCAAAACCTCTTGAAGAAAAGTGCGCAGGCTTGAAGCGAGGCTCACTTACTATGTACCCCTTGTTAAGCTTCCTCCAGTCAGATGTGAAAATATTTACTTCTAGACAAGTATAACCTCCTCCACCGCCCTTAAAGATCTCGTTGATATTCATATCGCCAGAATCTTGCGATTTTAGTTTAGATGGAAGAACACCGAGCCCAGGCACACTTAACCAAAGAAGAGACTCAAACGCAGGGCTATATGCAATTTAGAATAGTTGTGGAAGCTTCGCGGTTTCCCTCAGTCACCATATTGCGTTAACTGTGAGATTAGTGATCATAGATCGCATCGATCTCATTAATAAATCGTTACATTGAGGGGTGCAAAGATTCTCCATTATATCCAATCGTTAGTTGCGCCCGGGAGGAAGCGCTAAGTGTACATCCGTTTTAATAGGGATATAGCTATACATTAGTAAACTCATTATGAAATTAAGTGAACGTCGAATTTGCGGCAATTTCAGGATTTGAAATGAGTGGGACGACCTTTAAAACCGTCTGTGATTGATAGTAAAAAAGACATTAACCAATTAAAATATAGATATCGCCATTTCAAGTATAACTTGCTATTTGTGGAAGTGAAAGATTTAATCAATAGAGGGGGATCATTCAAATTTGGTTGGTTGGTTGCATTATTACAGAACCATGATAATGGCAACATCTGGTTCCAAGAAGATGATGCTATAGCCCATACATCCCGGCGTTCAATGGGAATTCTCGGAAAAATGTTTCACGGTCATCTCATTTCTTTGCGAGGAGACGTTGGGTGGCATCCGAAATCACCTGATTACCCCCTTGCGATTTCTTTCTCTGAGGTTACCTAAAATACCCTGATTGATTTTAATTAGCAACCACGAAAAGCAAAATTTGGTATACTTTTAAACCCAAAGTTGGTGATTTAGGGGGCGGGCTGGGTTGTTTTTATGATCGTTATCGAGTAGTGTTAATAAAAGATAAGCCATAGTCTAGTGACGTAAAAGTAAAAACTTGTGGAAAGTTGTTTTTTAAACGGTTTATCCGTATCGTATTCAGCAGCAGCAGTCTGCTTAGTGAAAGTGAAAAGTTTCTACCGTCAGACCAGCCGCCGAGAATTTTTTTCATCTTGTTTATCAATCTATTTCGAGTTATTAAATCCAGACAAAGTGAAGTTTCCTCAAGCTGTTTCAGAGAGTGTATTTGATAAGAGCGCTGATAGTACACTGTCTTGCTTCACACACGTGGAAAAGGCACATGTGCACAATATTCTTATTACTTCCCATAAACAAATACGACAAACAACAATTTTAGCACATGTTTAATTTGGTCAACAAATATTTTAATGCCCCAAAAGCATTTTGAATCGGGATGGGGAAAATTTGTTTACGTTAAGGTTAAGTCGACCTCTGAAATTTATTTTACTGTCATCAATGCTGTCCAAACGACTTCTCCCAAAATTTACTGTAACAGAAAAAATGAGGTTAAGGGAGAACCAGGAGGAGAACACATTTAAGTTTTAGCACAAACTTTCATTAAAGTAGTTAGTCCATACGACAAAAGAACGCGAATACGTAAAAATTCAGTGAATGCAATATTCCAAATATCGAAAAAGACATTATTATTGCTTGCGCTGGAAAGCGCCAGATAATTACATTTTCCAAAGTCCAAACAACATTGAAAACTGAGTGTTACACTTCTTGCAATTATCTTTTAATTTTATGTTTCAAAAGCAAACATCAATGCGCACTTTCGAAATTAATGTTCAAGTGGAAGTTGGGTACCTAGCTAGACATAGTGCCTTTGAAACTATTATTGTAAAGCAACATCGAACAGAAAACTTTAGGTTAGTTACGCTATGCCGAAGTTCTCTGCGACAGTAAGTTATTCAACGAAAATTTACTTACAGTTTGCAAGCGTAATTTATAACTCCGCCAGCACCCTTGTTTGTTTTGTACAGTTTATAATGATCCCGTGCGACCGACTTGAAACCTAGCCGAAAGTCTCGAACGAAATAAAATGTACGCTCAGAATCTACCATTACAGTAATTTCATTGAGAAGCAAAAGGATTATGGGAAATGGCGCGTATACTTTGTTCAATATAAATTCCGTTCAAAAAATATTTAGGAACTTTTAGTGGTCAAAGTTTGTAGAACTGCGTGTGTCACAATCGACGCTGCCAAATTTTTTTCTAACATTTGAGATGGAAATTCGTTCGTAGTTTTCACTTTTGGTTATTCATTTTCACTCTCAGTTATCATTTATTTTAAAGACCCCTTACTTTTACTCGTATTAGGAGCTGATAAAGAGTGTGTATTGTTCTATTATTCAAAAGAGATCCTCGGAATCGTTTATAATTTTGTGTTGGTGTCTGTTCGTCCGTCTGTCTGCCCGTCTGTCGATCTGGCTGTCCGTCTGTCTGTCCGAGAGTACGATAACTATGTTCGATCACTATGAAAATTGGTACACTGTTCTTAAGGGTATAAGAAAGGTCGCTATTGTTTTTCAAAAACGATCGCGATCCATTCCATGATAAAGAAAATTTTGTTTTTCAAGCCTCTTGCCAAATAAACCAAATTAACAGAAAAATGACTTAGGTAATATTAATCCCTTTGTAGGTAAAGAATCGGTTGTGCAATCGAGCGCATTAGAAAACAACAGTATACTTTTTCTACGTAAAACCGCCATAGTCAACACAAAAGAAGGGAATCCGAATTATAAAAGAATATTTTCCGAAAAATAAGATCAATTACAATAAAAGTTTTCCGAAACAGTGATTGTAATTAATGGACTTGTGGCCACTACAGACGCAGGAGGCTACTTTTCCTTAGGGACATACGTTAATTCAATAATTTGTCATCTTAGAATCTGAATGAATGCAGGATAACAGATTTCATCAGACAGGACATTCAACCTGTAAACCAAAATAGAGTACCAATCTCGCTAAATAATTCGCCCACGTACTAATTATTATCCAATCAATAAGGGAACGTATATAACGCGCAGATAATTTACTGCTGAATTCAGTAACGAACAACCTCAAATTAGACATCACAACCCCGGCATGAATGTATTTATGTGAAGCCATTATACGCCGATTTCCTCCTTCGATCAAAATAATTAGTTCCGCATAATGTTTATTTATTATGGCGATATTTTCCGGCTTATTATTTTCACTGTTATAGGGTAAAAGTTTTAGTCTTTAGTTTTTCCAACCTCATTGTTCTCCCTCTGATGACAACGACAACCATAATTAATCAAGCCAATGTAAATAGACAATTTTAAAATAAGTAACAAATATCTGTAGATATTAAAACAAACGTCACGTCACGTTCATTTTTAATCTAAGGGATCAATCTTTTCACGAAAAATTCAAAGATCGAACACTTTTTGTTGACCGCTTGACAGACCGATGGAGATATTTTGGTGCACAGGAGTAACTGTCAACATTTTATTTTACACTCCAGTAAAATGTACCTTAAGAAACTGGTGAACAAAGCCTCTTGTTTTTCACTTACTAATAGCTTTTTAAACATCACCAAACGATACCACGTAGCATTTTATACAGAAGTATTGCAAACTCGGGTTAAGATCCTCAAAAAGGACCCTAATCCAAGACTCAAATTCTGCCCAGTAGGTACCTACTGATATAAACAATCATTTATTTGTCTAAGGTACTGAAGTGATCCTACTGGATAGATACTGATTAATTCATAATTAAGCAGTATGAATCTTTACATGGACTGAAATTCTAAAATTCCAAATAACGAACTCGTAGTCGTTCTAATTTAGATGCATAACGGTCGATCCCGTATTTGAAATGTACACCAATTTTTCTTGACGGTTTCAAAGCCATAAATTCCTTTAATGCATATACTTCTTGATTAAATACACAGAATTTGGTTGTGCAACAAAAAGACATAAAAAAACTTCACTTAATATGAGGTCGAAAGGAACTGTTAGTTTTTAACTTATAAAGAAAGCATTCGGGTGGGTGGTCAAAGATATCCGTTGACAGAGAAAATATGTATGAATGTGTAAACTAAGCGGGAAAATTAGAAAAAGAAAGGTGCAATTTGGTCATATAATGCGTGGAACGTTACTAAAAAAGTTCGGAATACCTACTTTACTACAAGGTAAATGCTTTTCAATTAACATTAATTAATTAATTGAATTAGAGATATAATATTTACAAGTAGCCTTTAAATCGCTATAGCAATGTTCGCGATGGTGCGTGACTCAGCTACAGACATAATTAATCTAGACGTTGCACTTTATTGGGATTATCTCCTTTTAATTGGTTCTCTTCTAATCAACTTTATTTTAATTTTATTATTTATTAATTCATA